ATTAACACCAAAACATTTAACACTTTTGAATTTGCTGTGTACAGCTTTTTTTAGCTGGTACTTTTAAAACCTTTACATAAGTTTGACATTCTTGTTTGAAAGTCTTGAGTTTTGATTTCTTCTTCATACGAGTCACCTGGATCACACTTAGTCTGGCCCTTCAGCCTGAACCAGTTTAAGGCTGTGACTGCCAGCTTCTCTCTAACCTAAACATGAGTAAAATGAGTAAAAGTCAGCTGATCTGAATAATCATTGAGACTGAACATGAGGAACATGCAGGTTTGTGGAATTCAAGAAATCAAAGCTCAAATGCAAAACTGAGGGCCCGGTCATTAACAGTTCACACTGTGTAATGAAATGTAAAAAATGATGTGTGTATGAAAGTTATTAACCAGTTTAAGTTTTTAATATATTGCAGCACGTGAACTCAGGATAATGCTGTTTGGAAAAAGTGAAAAAAAGAAATCAGCCCTGGAAAAGCTCCTCGTTGGGAAAAAAGAGTCTGAAGGTTTTGAAGGAAAGCAATCTGGTGCTGCCTCTGGAGAGAGGAACAGGAAACCTCCCACAGTTGTAAAAACTCCCGACATCTTCAGTCTGCCTGTGGAAGTGCTGTTTATAGTGATGAAGAGCTGTGTGAGTCTCTGTCCTCCTGGACCAAACGTTCTGCTGCTGTTGGTCAAACCTTCTGATTTCACTGAAGAGGACAGACAGACTCTGAATTTGGTCCTGAGCTTGTTTGGTCGAGATGCTTTTAATCACTCCATAGTGATCCGAACACATAATGAGGAAGGGAATAACTCAGTGGATAAACTCATTGAAGAATCCAAACAAAGGCAGCACTTCGTTAATTTTGACAGGAAAGACTCCTTCTCAGATTCCTCAGAGTTGATGGCAGGAATGAATGAGATGGTGAGTAAAAACTGGGGGAAATATCTAACGTTAAAAGAAGAAGCTAAACCCAATCTGAAGTCCAGTCTGAACCTGGTTCTGTTTGGGAGGAGAGGAGCAGGGAAGACGTCAGCAGCCAAGGCCATTTTAGGTCAGACTGAGCTTCATTCAGCCTCCAACTCATCAGAGTGTGTTAAACATCAGGGAGAGGTGTGTGGTCGTTGGGTTTCCCTGGTGGAGCTGCCTGCCTTGTATGGAAAACCTCAGGAGGCAGTGATGGAGGAATCACTCAGGTGTATCTCCCTCTGTGATCCTGAGGGTGTCCATGCCTTCATCCTGGTCCTACCTGTGGCTCCCCTCACTGATGAAGACAAGGGAGAGTTAGAGACCATCCAGGATGCATTCGGCTCTCGAGTCAATGACTTCACCATGATTCTGTTCACTGTGGACTCAGATCCTACACATCCAGCTGCTGGTAACTTTCTAAAGGAAGACAAGGACATCCAGGAGGTCCGTGAGAGCTGTGGAGGAAGATCAGTTGTTCTCAACATCAAGAACAAACAGCAGATCCCAGAGATGTTTGAGATTGTGGATAAAATTAGTCAGCCTACAGGACAACTGTGCTGTTATACAACTACAACATTTTTACACGCACAAATGGAGAAAGTCTTAAAACTTGTCACTGGTAAGTAGTTTAGATTTTATATTTTCCAATGACCCAGAGTTTTAATCCAGTATACAAGTGTTAACTCTGATTGTTTTCATGTTTTAGGTGGTGAAGTTGGAGAACAGGACTCAGACTGTCTCAGGATTGTGCTGATTGGGAAGACCGGCTGTGGAAAGAGCTCTACAGGAAACACCATTTTAGGAAGAGACGAGTTTACAGCTGCATCAAGTCAAATGTATGTCACACAATATTGTAAGAAGGCAGAGGGTGAGGTGGACGGTCGTCCTGTTGTTGTGGTCGACACTCCTGGTCTGTTTGACACAAGTTTGTCCAATGAAGAAATTCAAGAGGAGATGGTGAAATGTGTCAGTCTCCTGGCTCCAGGACCGCACGTCTTCCTGTTGGTGATTCATATCGGCAGATTCACAGCAGAGGAGAAGGAGACACTGAAACTCATCAAGCAATTCTTTGGGAAGAACTCAGAAAAGTTCACCATCATCCTTTTTACCAGAGGAGACGATCTGGAACGTATGGGAGAGTCTATTGATGATTACATCAAGAACAAATGTCACAGTTCCTTTAAGAAACTGATCTCTGACTGTGGAGGAAGATACCATGTGTTCAATAATTCTGAGAAACAAAACCGCACACAAGTCAGTGAGCTGATAGCAAAGCTTGACATCATGGTGAAGGACAATGGAAGACGCTTCACCAATAAGATGCTGAGGAACCTGAAGGAGAAGGAAGAAGAGATGCAGAAGGAAAAGGAAGAGATCGAAAGAAAGCATAAGCAAGAAATGAAAGCAATGAAAAAAAGAATGGCAGAAGAGAGAGAAAAATCAGAAAATGAGAGAAAACAGAAAGCTGAAGAACTCAAGGAAATGAAGAACAAAATTAAGGAAGAACAAGAGAAGAAAAAAAAAGAAGAAGAAATGAGAGAAAAGGAGGAAAAGGAAAAGGACACTGGAGAAGAAAGATATCGACAACAATTCAAAGAAGAACTTGAAAAGTTGGACAGACAAATTCATTTGGAAAAAGAGGCAAAGGAAAGTGTCGACAGACATCTGGAAGAGACCAGAGAAGAGATGCAACGAAAACAAGAAGCCTGGGAGAAAGAACGAAGAGAAGAGCGAGAGAAACAAAGACAAGAAGATGAAAAGAGACGACAGGAGGAGGAAGAAAGAATAGACAAACTGCTGGAAAGTTACAAACAAGAAAAAATAAAATATGAAAACAACAAATTACAAGAGGAACAAATAAGAAGAGAAATGGAAATAACAGAGAACAATCATCAGAAAACACTGGAGGACCTAAAGAAGAGCTGTGAAAGAAAAGCCAGACAGAAAGCAGAAGAGTTCAACGAATCCCAAAAGAAACACATGGATGAATTAAATGCTCAGCGGGAAGAACACGCGAAGGAAATGTACGACTTAGTGAAACGTGTGACCAAGAAGAGCGAAAACCTGAGAAAGATCAAACATCTAGTGGAAAAACATGAAAAACAAATGAGGAACGCAAAAACTGAGGAGGACAAGGAAGAACTACAGGAAGTACATGAACAACAAATAAGTGAATTGATGCAAAAGATCTTAAGTAAGGAGGTCAGTGATGCATCAGGCTGCAGCATTTCATGACGAGAAATGAATGATTTCAGTTGTTTTTCTTTCATTGTACTGGGAAAAAACATTTAAAGAGGCACCGATGTGTTGTTCTGCACGTTTTAAATGTTTGGGATTTCCTCACAACAGCAAATAATTCTGGTGCGTCTAACCTGCCTTAAACACAGTGTCGGACTCCAGTCTCACCATTAAACCTCAAGTCACTATCCCAACATTACCAAAGCTTCTGACTGGTTAAACTAACTCCAAAGACTGAATAGGTATTAGTTACTAAAAGACCCACGTGGAACCAGCATGTTCCACTCTGTCTCAGCTCATTAATCTGCCCCCTGGCAGAGTGGAAGCAATCACAAGGTTGCGAGTTTGACTCCCTGACCTGGAGTGTGTGGAGTTTGCATGTTTTTCCTGTGTCTGCCTGGGTTTTTCCTCCCACAGTCCACACACATGCAGTTAGTGGGGTTAATTGGTGATTCTAAATAACCCATGAGTGTGAGTGTGAATGGTTGTCTGTCTCTCTGTGTTACCCTGCGACAGACTGGTGACCTGTCCAGGGTGTACCCCGCCTCTCTATGATAGCTGGGATAGGCTCCACCCCCTGATTAGGATAAGCAGAGGAGAAAAGATGGATGAAGATTCACATCAACTGATTTTTCTCTTTGGTTTTAGTTTGGTGTTTATTGGCATCTTATGCACTTCACGTTCATTCAAAAATAAATAAATAAAATAAACAAATGCACATATTTATATTCAAATATGTAAAGAACAGAACAGTTTTGTCATTCAAATGTTATCATTGTGTGTCTGTCTGTGTGTGTGTGTTGTTTCTGGGTGTTAAATGTTTTATCATAAAGAAAGACGACACACATTTGGTGATCAGGTACCTCTATTCTTGTCTTTTTTTGAAGTTATGGCTCAAAGAGTTTTTCCTGGGCTGAGCTCTTTAAGTACCAGGATGTTCATTTAAGTTGTGTTCGTTTTGCTCTGTACTGCACTGTAAGTTGAATCAGTCATTCTAGTCTTTTCTGATTTGTTGTTTTCTGTAATGATTGGTAAAAATCTGGATATCTGTGATTTGATTTCTTGTATTTTCTTGAGAGTAACTGTTTCCATGGTGTTTATTTGTTTTGGTTGTGTTTTGTACATTTTGTGTAACCAAGTTTTATTATAAAATCACTGATTTTTTTTAAAATAGACAGATATTTGACTGTAAAGTTTAGATCAGGGGTGGGCAACCCTGGGCACGCGTAGGGTTAACTGACGGCACGACCATAGCTGGACTGGCCATCGGTGGGCCGATTATTTTATTTTATTTTTTTCTTGTAACGGCATGAACAATGAGAGGTGGTGGATTGGCCAGATGCTGGGAGATGTGTAAATATAACTCAGTTGTTTGGTGGTGGCTGTGGCGGAGCTTCCACAGAGGTCAGCAGGTGGATGAGGGAAAGGCAGGAGGAGCAGAGACCCGAGGCGGTGAACTGAACTTCAGGTAAGAAGTTATGACCTGCAGTCTATCTGGGTCAGATATAAACCAAGTTTAGGTGGAGTTTATTTTAGTTGTGCTGACTTTTTACAGTCAGCTACAATAACTCGTACTGCGTACTAGCATGACGGAGTTTCTATACAGCTGGGTGGGTGCTATGATGTTACTGATAGTGAGCTTTATTTAATTCATAAGGTTAGTTAGTAGAGTTGCCAACTGTCCTGTAAAAAGACGGAATCGTCTCGTATTCAGAGAAAATATCACGCGTTTGGTGTTGAGCTGAAAAGAAACACAGTTTGTCCCGAACTTCAGCTACAATGAAAAAGACTCAAAGCTGGATTTATTCTGCGTCTTTGCTGCACAGCTGCCTCTTCTCCTCTCCTCTCTCTCCTGTTGCTACTTCAATTCTGAAACCAATCAATGATCAGCTGATCGGCTTTTCTCTCTTGTTTGTTTATCGCTCACTTTGCGCCAGAAAGACCAGCAGATGTCGCGCTAAACAACAGCAGCACGTTTAAGCTTGATCAGCTGTTGTTAGAATTGATTTAATATTAATTTCTAGCATCAGCTGATATTTGCTGTAGCCACAGCTGTAAAGCTGCTGGTCATGATGTCGGTTTGGATATGTGGTGAGAGGGAAACATGAAGATGAAACCAGGAGATGTTCTTACTGAATCATCAGAGCTGAACAGGTGATGGAGAAACAGGTTTACCTTTTAGCTGACATGAATGAGTTGAAGTTATGAACTGTTTCTGAGAGACAAATAACACCAGGATCCTTTTCTAAGTAGCTGACAGCTGGTAACTGTGCAGGGGCGGATCTAGCAAAGTGTTGCCAGGGGGCAGGTAGGGCATTAACAGGGAGAGGGGGGCACAAAGACATACTTTTCTTTCTGTCAATAGGAAAATTGTACTTAGTAGTCAGTATAATCTTTTAATGATATAAGTTTGCATATGGCAGAATGCTGCATGTAATCACTTGTGTTTAGAAGTATATAGTTGGTGGCATATTGAAAGAATGTCTCATCCTAGGAGGTCTGTAACATTCCAGGGTGTTCTGGCTTCACCCCACATCCTGGGAGTATGGGAGAGGGCGTAGCTTGTCTTATTGTTTTACGGTAGGATTAACGTAGCTATATCTGTCTTAGGCTAAGTGCTTTTTATTTAGATGAACTGCTGGACTTCGAGACCAGTAGGTTTCGGGAAGTCATTTATGGGGTCACACACACACACACACATACATATATTCCAATGTATGGAACAAACGCTCACTGAAGCATATAAATAAAGATCAGGGCAGTCCTCAGGGCGAGTCTCAGTTCTGGAGGCTGCCCTTGCTAGCAAGAAGTTCTGTGTGTTTCTCTTCTCTGAGTCTTTACTGAAGAAGTGTTTTAGAGTACATCTCTTAACGTTTTCTTATTGTCTCACTTTTATTAAATAATTATCTGAATCTTACACCCAAAGTTTTAAGCTGATGTAAAATGTATAGAAATCATACATATACCAACAAGACTGTACATCACTGTCACAACAGCGTTTGTTTTCATTCAAAGGCTTTATGGCTTTAATACGTGTGGGCCGGTCTGTAGTCAAAATGCCCCGGCTGAATTCTTTTGTCCCAGTCCAGCTCTGGGCACGACACGCAGTGAATCAATCTGAGAAGGTGCATTAAAAAAATAAATGGCCGGGCCAGTGGTGCACATCGCAAACCAGCTCACATAGACACATTAGTTGTGCCGCTTCTTAATGATGGTACCTTAGCTAACAACCCAACTACCAGATTCAACTTGTAATTGGCTAAAAATCACTTAACCTACCAGTCAGAGGGACGTTGTTAGCTTTCCACATTCTGACACTTCAAATGCTTCAGCATCTGTCCGCTCAGCGCAGCATCAGCACCACGGAAACACACGGATACATCCGTAGACTCGAGACAGAATTCACAATGTGTTTTCAGGACTTTCAGGTGTTTGGACCAATGTTTTCTTTTGTGATCAAACCAGAAAGCTTTAATGAGCAGCTGGATTTGTCTCGCATGGCTGAGTTAATGCAACATCGAAGCAGCTGGAATCCACAGCTGTGCGTGTTCATGGAGCTGCATGTTCACCTGCTGGACATCACTACCTGACACGTGAAGATGGCGCCGGTGTGCATGGCTGACCGTCTGCGATCTCGACTGCGCCTCGGCGTAGTACTCTTTGTTATTTTATCCTTGGTTTTATGTTCTCTAGGCGATTGTACGCTAATAACTTATGATAGAGACACGCTCCTGAATCTTCGGTTCTCCTGTCCTCAACGACTGGACAGTTATGGGACCATGGGTGGTGCCACTCCCCTGCCGCCCGTCTCTTCCACCAAAACGACCTACTTACCTTTTCCCTTTCTGCGTAGGAAACGCTTCAGGAAACGGGCTAGAAGGAGTGGTGCCCGTGTTCGCGTCAAGGCTTATATTAGAGCCGTGGCTATGGATTACCCTTCTACAAGTCGTGAGCTGTCACGATTTATCTTCTACTCCAGGAGCCGCTTTGCGGCTAAATTGTTAAGTCATCGTTGGATATGCCCTGTTGGCCCTCAAACCTATCCTAC